TTAGGGCACACCAGGACATTGCAAAGCTCACGGCCGTGGCTGAGTTCTCGGCCGATGCCACTTACCAGTCTGTGAAATTCTCCACCAGGGCCATATCATCACATGTCACAGCTCGCCGCTTGCTCTGGCTCCGCCATTGGCAAGCGGACATTAAGAACAAGGTGAAATTGGCATCTGCTCCCATTTCGGGAGGTAAATGATTCGGTCCGGCCCTTGATCCCTTGTTGGTCGAGAGTCATAACAAGCAGAAATACCTCCCCTCTCTTTTTCGGAGGTCCGACTCCAGGGCACCCCTGCCCTTTTGACGAGGATCCTTTCGTTCCTCCTTCCAGACCTCTTTTCCCCCCAGGTACCAGAGATCTCCCTCCTACCAGCCGCCCCCTTCCCAAGATCGGGCCGACTCCACCAATAGGTCCAGAAGGGGTGGCTCCTATAAAAGACCCTTCCGGGGATCTGGGAGCAGGCCTTTTTGGCGCTCCAGATAACTCAATCCACTCCCTTCCCATCGGCGGATGCCTCAAGTATTTCGCCAACCGATGGGAGGCCTCCACATCTGATGCCTGGGTCAGAGACACTGTTCGCTTTGGTCTTGCCCTTGAATTCCAGTCCCCCCCTCCCGACTTCTTTATGACTTCCCCCCTCTCCAGAGACCCTACCAAGCGTACTCTCATGGAGGCCACCATCAGACACCTCCTCGACATAAAGGCTATTCAACCCGTTCCCGTCGCTCAAGGCCCATATCAACAGACAGGGGGACACTCAGTTGATTCGGCTCATGAGGGAGGCCGAACGCCTTTGTCACTGGGCGGAAGCAAATCTCATATCCATCAAAGCAGACCATATCTCGGGGGCGTTAAACATCCGAGTGGATTGGCTCAGCAGGGCCACATTAGATTAGGCGGAGTGGCGCCTCCACCCATCTCTATTCGGGGAGGCGGCCTCAATCTTCGGTCTTCCAAAAGTGGACCTTTTTGCATCCCCCCTCAATGCCCAGTTCCCAAGGTTCTTCTCCAGGTACCCCTCACACAGGGCGGAGAACCACAACGCTCTGCGTTGCCCCTAGCCCCCAGGACTTCTTTACACCTTTCCCCCACTGGCCGTCATTCCCAGGGTCATCCACAAGCTAATCCTGGAGCAGGCGGAACTCCTTCTGGTTGCCCCTTATTGGCCCAGACGTCCGTGGTTTGCAGACCTCCGCAACCTTTCAGTGGCTCCCCCCTGGAGGATCCCCCCCAACAAGATTTCTCTGTCTCAGGGTCCACTTCTACACCCGGAACCTCAATGGCTCCAATTAGCTATCTGGAGGTTGAGTGGGACCGCTTAAAGAGGGAGAAGTTTTCCAGCCAGGTTATAGACACCATTCTTGCGGCCAGACGGCCCTCAACCACCTGAATATACAATGCCACGTGGGTCGCCTTCTGTAATTGGTCCCACAAATTCCAAATCAACCCCCTCTCTCCCTCCATTGTGCAAGTCCTGGATTTCCTCCAGGAGGGCCTTAACAAAGGATTGTCCCCTAACACCTTGAAACGGCAGGTCGCGGCCCTTGCAACCGTTATCTCTATTGGTAACGAGGGTCCCCTCTCCCATCACCCCTGTATTTGGGCATTTCTCAAGGGAGCTACCAACCTACGCCCCCCAGCTGTTCACCGTTACCCAACCTGGGACCTCAATAAGGTTCTTGTTTCACTCACCAAGCCCCCCTTCGAACCCATTAGGGAGTCCTCCCTCCAATTTCTGATGTTCAAGGGAGTGTTTCTCGTTGCTATCACATCTGCCCGCCGGATCTCGGAGATAGCAGCCCTGTCTATCAGAAAAGATCTATGCGTGTTCCATTCCAATCGGGTCATTCTCTGGCCCGACCCCACCTTCTTACCCAAGATTAACTCGACATTCCACAGAGCGCAGGAGCTCATCCTCCCGAACTTTTGCCCCAGACCTTCTCGGGAAAGGGAGAGACAGTGGCACACCGTTGATGTGAGGCGCGCCCTGCAGATTTACATCAAGCACACCCAGCCCTTCCGGAAGTCGGAGGCATTATTCCTGTCATTCCAACCCAAGTCGCTCGGTCACAAGGTATCACCTGCAACTATAGGCTGTTGGATCAGGGCCGCTATATCGAGATCATACCAAGCACAAGCCCTGCCTATCCCCTCTGGCATAACTGTGCACTCCACCAGGAGCGCGGCTACCTCGGCTGCCTGGGCCACGCAAGCATCAATAACCGACATATGCTGGGCTGCCACCTGGGTATCCCTGTCCCCCTTCATCAGGCATTACAAAATCGATGTTTTTGCCTCGGCGGAGGCCTCCTTTGGTAGACGGGTCCTACAATGGGTCCTTGAGGATACAGAGGAGATTCTGAACCAGACGGGGTCCCTCCCGTAGGACTCGCCAAGCTTTGGTATGTCCCACTCTGGATGCTCGCAGCAGCTCTATGGAGAAGGGGCATTGGTTCTTACCTGATACGCTTCTTCTCGTAGAGCTGCGTAGAGCATCCAGCCCCACCCTATTATCACCGTCTGGTGGGGAATCTTGTTTCGGCCAATGGACTAGTTATTAGTTAGGATGAGAACAAGGCCTTTTCCTTCTCGTCTTCGCAAAACTGGGGAACGCTACGATGGACCACGTGATGGGGGAGGAGTGTTCCTCAATTCAAGCTCAGCCTGTGAGAGCCAAGACTGGAGCACCTCCCACTCTGGATGCTCTACGCAGCTCTACGAGAAGAAGCATATCAGGTAAGAACCAACGCCCCTTCTAGTCCATCATATTACCGCTCCTTTGTAGGCACATTCCATCACACATCTTTTTCTTGATATTTTAATTGGCCATGGCAGCATCTTACTCATATATATTCATAACATTTAATACATGTAATGATTTATTGCATTATAATGAATAACATTCTCTTATTTGTATAACATATTGGGTTGAATGCAAAGAATGTAATTGGGGAAATATATGCAGATACAGACTCACACCTATCATTTCTGTGCAGTGGTGGGATTCAAATTTCTTTTTTTTACTACTGATTCTGTAGGCATGGCTTGGTGGGCGTGGCAGGGGAAGGATACTCTAAAATCTCCAGTCAGAGATGGTATTTGCCAGTTCTCCGAACTACTCAAAATTTCCATTACCGGTTCTCCAGAACTGGTCAGAACCTGCTGAATACCATCTCTGCTGTGCAGGTAACTTCATTTTGGAATCCATAGTTGTAATTGCAGAAGTGGTTCCTAAAGGATATTTGAAAGATTTCTGTGGCTATTCTTTCTTGTCAACCATTAGTGCATAGCATTTCTTTCTTATTCTTTCTGGTCATGGCCCAGTTCTCTCTGGTCCTATAAATGCACACCTGGGCCAGAACAATGAGTCAATACAATATATTTTGCCTTCTAAAATACATGTTTTATGAGAGGATTTGAGAAAGTGCTGTGAATAGATGAAAAATTAATTTGAAGCTTCAAAATTGTCTAATTAAATCAGATGTTAGATTGCAGTATAGAACAGAGGAAGAGGTATCTCACAAATACATTTAAGATGCTGATCAAGAGATACAGAGCTTTTTCCTTCTCCCAAGTATAAGGGAAAAGGAGAAAAGAGGTGATTGCTTCAAGTTAAGTTGAACATATTCACAGGAGGCTTAGTGGCTTGGGAAGATGGAATACAATATAGCCTCCCAAAATCAATTTAAAAACAGGATAGGTAGAGTGATAAAGTCACATCAACATAATGTGATTTGGTTGTATTTTGGAATGAGAGATTTTTCTAATATCTCCTTTGAGGCAAACTCCAGATTTTTTTCCTTAATACTACATGATATTGGGGGCTTAGATGATTTAAACAGACAGAAAGGAAAAAAAAAATCAGGATATAAATAATACTTCCTTTCTTCTGTTTTAAACAGAAGGTATCAATGTAAGATTGGATATCTCCCTCCAAAAGGCAAGAATCAAAATTTTAGAAAAGAAGTTAAAAGGAGGCTCATCAAAGGCAATTGCAAAATAGCAGTATACTGTTATGCTGCAAATGTAACTTTGCCTAAATTTCTTTGATGACAGAGCTGCTTTTGTATCATTTGCAAAGCCAGCGCAAAGATCTGTTTCCCAAATGCAGGTTATCCCCCCACAAAGTATTTAAAGTATTTTGTAATACAAAGTTGTAAAACAGAGGAGTTGTTCCTTTCCTCTAACTTTCAATATCCGTGCTGAAAAAGGCAGCTTCTTGAATCAAATGACTGAAACTTCCCTCACTTATTTTTCTTCTGGGTTTTTTTTTTTTTGCAGCTCAGAATGGATAGTAGCAAGAAAGAGATGCTGGATCAGAAGCCTCTCTTGGAAGTGCAAGTATTACTCCCCATGGATTCTGCTCCGGATAGAGTCATGAATGGAGGAGCAGAGGGACTTACAGGGGAAAAGATACCCTGGGACATGATCACCCCTGTTTGCAGCTTTGAAAAACTCTGAATCATTCAGCTTTTGGGGAGCAATAAGTTTTGGCCTGCTATTCTAGCATGCTACTATGGTTGATGCCTGATCATTTTTTTAATTGCTGAAAAATGTGATGAGCTGCTGCCAAGAATCTCATAAGGAGGATTATCTACAAGCCAGTGAGGGCCTCCTCATTCTTCAAGAAGGACATTAAATAGTGAAAAATTAAACAATTGTAACTGAAATGAAGGTCTTCTCAAAGATACTATCAGAAATGCTAACAACAAGCGTGGTCAGAAGGTGAATGCTGTGGGAAGCAGCAAAGGATCTTTCTGCTGGTGGAAATCTTGATCTATATGCAGCAAACAAGTCAGATAATTGCTATACTTCTGAGTGATCAGAACTTGAGGGTATCAGATGAAATATCAGGTTCATCTGTCATTGCCTTACTGGAATTTCTTTTATAATTAAGTTTTACTGCCCACAATTTCAAGAGATTTCACCTGTGACAAATATAAGGCTGGCCCTTGGAGCAATACCACAAAGTGGGAAGAAAAGGGTGGGTAGCTCATCATGGTACTTCCACCCCCAGACAAGCACCATGTGTGTCTTACCACCATTGTTATTATGACCAGCATGGCATTCATGGATGCTTATCTGGTAGAGCAAAACCAAGGGCCTCGTAAAATTGGTGTCTGCATCATTGTTCTGGTAGGAGACATTTGCTTTTTGATTGTGCTGCGCTATGTGGCCGTCTGGGTGGGGGCTGAGGTAAAGACAGCCAAACGGGGCTATGCTATGATTCTTTGGTTCCTCTATATCTTTGTGCTGGAAATCAAACTGTATTTTATATTCCAGAACTATAAGGCTGATAAGAGAAATCTGGAAACAGTGGCTAGAAAGGCACTGACCTTGCTTCTCTCCATTTGTGTGCCAGGATTGTACCTAGTGCTAGTAGCCTTGGACAGCATGGAATATATACGTACCTTCCGGAAGAAAGAGGATTTGCGAGGTCGTCTCTTCTGGGTGGCCTTGGACTTATTGGATATCTTAGATATTCAAGCCAACCTATGGGAACCACACAAGACTGGTCTGCCAATTTGGGCAGAAGGACTCATGTTCTTCTATTGCTACATATTGCTCTTAATTCTGCCCTGTGTTTCCTTGAGTGAGATTAGTATGCAAGGAGAGCATATTGCTCCCCAGAAAATGATGCTCTACCCTGTCTTGAGTCTGGTGACCATAAACATGGTTACCATATTCATCCGAGCCATTAATATGGTCCTCTTTCAAGATAGCAGAGTCTCTACAATCTTCATTGGCAAGAATATAATTGCCATTGCTACCAAGGTCTGCACATTCCTAGAATACAAGAAGCAAGTGAAGGAGTTCCCACAAAATGCCATTGCACTTGAGCTCCAGCAGAACTCAGTGCCCCACAACCAGACCCTCCACAATACACAAGGCCTTCCTCATGAGCCATCCCCCACCAGGGAGATCTTGGACACATGATGAGCCTCTTCTTAGATATCAGCATTGGTTCTTATTGGGAAGGGGCGAAGAAGTAATACTGCTCTTATCCCAGCATAGAGAGCTGCTTCCAGCACAAGATTTTAACAAATGGAGGAACATCCCCTGCAACTCAGGTATTTCCAAGGGGCCCTCTGGAAAGAAAGCAAAATCAATGGACCTTCCAAGCAGAACCTCATCCACTCCAGCATCTGATCTTTTCTATCTGTTTGTTACCTGTGCTTCAACTTGTAAGGAATGAGAATTTTTGTTATCACAACCTTTTTTAAAGAAAGGGACAGGGTGGGATGGGCAGGATAGGAAAATCAGGACTGGCACTTCAGTCAGTACACCAGTATATTGAGTCTTATTGGAAATTGTTGTGTTTACAGTTTCTTATTTTCAAACAAAACAAAAACAAAAAAGGTCCTATAAAGTTGCTGCAGAAAACTCTACTTGGGGCAGTTTTTAAAAAATATTTGCTAAGTAGATCCTTTGCTCTGTTTAGTTCCACTCAGCAAGCAGCAACCTCACTCATTTGGCCAGGAAAGTTCTAACATTGCCAAAGTCTTCAGCCAGCCCTTCAAAGAATCTTATTTAACATCCCATCTCATATTTCAAGAACATTTATTATAAATCATTTATAAAATGATTCAATGCAAGATTTTTGTTTTTCAAAAAAACAAGTATTTCTGTTTCATTCACATGTATGCACATTTCAGTTCTGATGGCATGAAGTTCCAGAGCTTTTTGGGCTACATTGACCTGGGGAAATACACAGGTAGTACTATTAATGGAAACTGAGATTCTCAGAATTATGAACATTCATTTTTATTCCTGCAGCAGCTTAATTTATAACTCTGCTGCTTTTATATGAACTACACAGACTGCCTCTAAAATAAGGCATGGGACAATCCCTTTAGGCAAGAACTATTGGGACACAAAACAGCAACAGTTTCCCGGCAAAAATGTTGCACAAGCCCAAAAGCAATGCAAGACTATTTTTTTTCTTAGTGATCTCCCATTCCCTCATTGGTGTCTTGATCACATACCCAACAGATTTTTCCAGTGAATACCAATTATGCATTGGATACCTCATTTGGCCCTGCATATCCATTCCTCACTTAGCAACCCAAAATAAGGAATCAAAGTTGGTCTTTTGCCATACCATCACCATAAAAATATATAGTCCATTTTACTATGCTGGGATTTACTATATACTTTTAAAGTTCAGTCTTGTCAGGTAAGGGTATGAATGGCCTATAACTTGAAAATATTCAACTTTTTAATTACAGTGGAGAATAAAAGCAAAAGAATTGGCAGAAGAGAGTCTAAACATTTCTGCTGTATAGAGTAGCCATTCTCTCAGCCAAAAAAGCAGTGTAGAAGAATGTAAAGGGAAGAGGCATAGGAAGTTTTGAAGATATTAGATATCCTGAAACATGCAAATGTATAAGGATAATGCAATCTTGCTCTGCAAGGATCTGGTGTAGGGTATTGGGCATTAACCAAGTCACTACCTACATTGACGTTACTGCTCTTGCTAGTTTACTAATTTTACACTCCCAAAACACGTTCAGGATGTTGCTATCCCTGAAGGAAAGTATATGAAGATGCTTAGTGCATTTCATTATTTGGTCAATTGTCTGAGATCTGTGTGATGCAACTCCAAAGAGTTTAGTCACACCCAGGCCTGTGCAATTTGTTTGATGATCATTCTTCTATGTAATAAAGGGTTCTGGACACCCACCCACCAAGCATTTTTTTTGATGTGTATATTTTCCTTTTGTGGTTATTGTTGCTTTATCCAGAAGTTTGCATGCCCTCTGTAAACACCAAAGGTAAGAGCAACAAGTTAACTTTTGAATAAAAAGTCTTTTTCTTTCTAGTCCATGTGAATAAGGTGTTAATTGATTAGGGCAGACAAGGTCCATAAACCACTTTGAGAACCCTTTCAACATCAGTTCATCACAAAGTATAGTTTTTAGAGAAACATGGTTGAATAATGTGAGAAAGTACAGTGAAAATAATTGATTCAAAAGAGCATTTCATGTGCCAAAGAGTAGTACTAGAAAGGGCAATGATATCCATAAATAAGATTTTTATTTTATCAAACCAACTTCTAATTCCATTGGGCTATTGTAGGTATTCTATGCAAAATATATAATGTAATAAAATATAATAGATGCTTTTTCATTATATTAAATTTTATTTAAATTAAACATTAAATATATATGATATGACATTGGAGGGTGACCAATCTTCACAACCTAGGACTTAATTCCAAGCATAAACCATTAGATAACCAGTCAAATGAGGAAAGGAGTAAAGAGAAAGAAGAAAAATACAGATGCAAAGTAGATGGTAGAAAGCATACCCAGTCTAAGCCACAAAAATTTAAATGCATATACACTTAATGCTCCTAGGGAACTAACAGGATGAACTTGAAATACTACCGGTGGTACATGAGGGAAAGTATGGTATACTATAGTTGCCATTACAGAAACTTGGTGGGATTAGTACATTCATGACTGGAATGTACTAATAGAAAGATATAAACTTGAAAAGAAACAGACCTAACAAAAGAGGAGATGGGGTTGCATTATATGTTAGAGTTCACTTCCTCTACAGAGTTGCACATTACAAATCATGAAAGCCACTAGAATGCATATGAGTCAACATAAAAGGAAAAAAATAGTAACACCATAATTGTATACTATAGGCCACCCAACTAAGTAGAAGAAGTAGGTGGCATTTTTGCTATTCAGTTAAATGTATGTAGGAAAAACCGCAGTAGTAATGGGGGACTTCAACTATCCTGACATCAACTGGAAAGCAAACAGCATCAAGTGGAAGATCGAACGGATTCAAGTGGAAGATCAAACAGACCCACCTACCTGCCAATTTCTTCACCCAAAACGTAGAAGAGGCAACTACAGGGGCAGCTATACTGGACCTTATTCTTACTGTCAGATCTGTGTATCTGTCATTTCTTCAGTGGAAGAAGAAAAGGGGGGGGGGAGACTGATAAATCTTTTCTTGATGTAACCTGAATATATTTAATCTTATATCGAATTTGTATAACCCACACATGATACAATGGAGGGAGGAAACCCAGATGACCAGAACCTATCACCTCTGAGAGGCACAGCTAGGAGATGAAAAGACCATAAAAATTCCACAGTGAGATGTGTCCTGGAAACCTCTGGAAAAGTTCGTTCTAAAAAGGGGGTGGGGGAAAATTAGGTATGCCCTGGGAAACTCTGAAAAAGATCATTTCTACAAAAGGGGTGGGGGGAATTAACATACTGTTTCACTAAATACACATGGAGATAAGGGGAGGGGTCCTAAACTCCCTTATCTATCCCTGTATGCCTGAGAGACCTTAGACGCTGCTTTGAACTCCTACATGAATTGTCTCATCTCAATAAAGGATTCCTTTTGATATGTTTGGTTTTCAGAAGTTCATTCTTGTTAACTGAATGGGAAAAAGTTCTAGATTGAACAGATTCAAGTGGAAGATCGAACAGACCCACCTACCTGCCAATTTCTTCACCCAAAAGGTAGAAGAGGCAACTATACTGGACCTTATTCTTACTAACAGCTAAGAAAGGATAGAGGGGATTGAAGTTGCAGGAATTTTAGGGAGAGTGACCATGTCATATTACAATTCAATATAAAACAGACACACGCAACAGAATATAATCAAACCAATGTATTAGATTTTTAAAAAGCTGATTTTAACAAACTCAGAGACAGCTTGGGAAGGATACCATGGATGAAAATCTTAAAAGAGCAAATTGACTCAAGAAGCTTGGGAAACAGAAAAATACAATTATAAAAGCCCATCTGAGTTGAATACCACTAAAAAAAAAATCCAAGAAAAAAGCCTGCATAGTTTAACAAACAACTCTCAAACCAACTGAGAGAGAAAAAGGATAAGTACAAAAAATGGAAAAGGGGACATATAACTAAAGCAGAATACCAACAAATAGCTGGAACCTGCAAAAATTGTAAGGAACAATGTAAGACTTGCCACAAAAGTCAAAAAAAATTAAAGTTTCTTTCAACCCATAAAAAATAAGAAAAGAGTCAAACAATCCACTAAGGGGAAAAGATGGCAAAGAAGTCATTCATCTAATGACTGAATGTTAGGTTTCTCCCGTGGAAGCTCGGGTATGGGTACAAAGTCTTGTCCCAAAGCCACTTTAAACAGAGTAAACCCAGTACTACTATGTACCAAATTATTATATGCCACCTCAGCGAATGGCAATAGGTCAGCCCAATTATCTTGCAGATAATTTATATAACATCGAAGATATTGTTCCAATACCGAGTTAGCCCCATTGGTTTGTGGGTGGTGGGCAGAGCTTAAGTCCTGGGCAGAGCCCAATAACTTAAGGAACCCCTTCCAAAAGTTTGAGGTAAACTGGACACCCCTGTCTGAGATTATGCGTTCAGGAACCCCATGTAACCTGTATGTAAAATAAACAGTTTAGCCAATGTTTTCGCAGATGGAATTTTTGGACAAGGTATGAAATGTACCTGTTTAGAAAACAAATCTGTTACTACCCAAATAACTGTACTCCCCCCACTTTCAGGTAATTCCACTATAAAATCCATAGAAATTTCCTTCCATGGAACCGTTGGTCTAGCCACATTTTGTAGTAAGCCTGCTGGTTTACCAGGAGGCCGTTTGGCTGAGGCACAGATAGGACAGCTAGCCACATAAGTCTCAATGTCCTTTTTCAAGATAGGCCACCAAAATTGCCTTTTAACCAAGTGTAAGGTTTTCACGAATCCAAAATGTCCAGCAGCTTTAGAGTCATGAGCTTGCTATAATATTTGGTTTCTCAGCTTCGCTGGCACATATAATTTGGCCCCCACCCATGCCAATCCATCTCTAACCATACAGTTATTTGAATGAGCAAGGAACCAACCATCAAGTTTTAGAGCGTCTCTTAATTGTGCAGTCAAATCATTTGATAAATCAACCTTCTTTTTCTGGGCTCTGGTAACCACTGGAGCTGCCAACTGTTTGGTTGGGACAATAGGCCATACCACTTCTTGGCGAGCACTATTATATTGAGGTAATCTAGATAAAGCATCCGCCATGAAGTTCTTCCCCCCTGGAATGTATTTCAATGAAAAATTAAAGCGCTTAAAGTACTGCGCCCAGTGAACTTGCTTGGGAGACAGCTTCTGAGGCATTTTCAAAGCCTCCAAATTTTTATGATCTGCCCACACCTCAAATGGGTGTTTTGCCCCTTCTAAGAAATGCCTCCAGGTTAACAGAGCCCAGCGAACTGCAAAAGCTTCTTTTTCCCAGATGGCCCATCTTCTTTCGGTTTCAGTTAGTTT